AGATTTTTCATCTCCATTAAGATCTGTTTTATATAGCTGGATGCTCTCGTGTTTGGTGCATACATATTTATGTGTTACCTCTTCCTCTTGTATTTTTCCCCTAACCAGTATATAGTGGCCTTCTTTATTTCGCTTGATCGTTCTTGATTTGAAGTTGAGACTGTCTGAGAAAAGGATTGCTACTCCTGCTTTTTTCTGAGGTTCTAGGGCGTGTAGTATTGTTTTCCATCCTTTGACTTTCAGCCTATGAACGTCTTTATGAGTTAAATGTGTTTCTTGTATACAGCATTTTGTTGGATTTTGTTTCCTAATCTACTGTGCCAGTCTATTTCTCTTAATTGGTGAATTGAGTCCATTTACATTGATAGTTAGAATTGGGATGTATTGACTTACGACTGACAGGTTATTTACCTGCTGTTGTTTACTCCTTTTTGTCCTGTGTTTAATTGTTTTCCCTATTTAGTTGGTTGCTTCTGTTCTCGTTGATGGAGTTCTGATCTTTTGGTCCCTCACTAGAACATCTTTCAGGAGCCTGTGTAGGGTTGGCTTTGTCATCATTAATTTCTTTAGTTGTTCTTTGTAATGGAAGTGTTTCACTTCTCCATCAAAGTTAAAGAGTTTTGCAGGGTATAGTAGTCTGGGCTGGAATTTGTTTTCACAGAGGACTTGAAGTACTCTGCTCCATTGTCTTCTTGCCTTCATGGGTTATGAAGAGAAGTCAGCCATAATTCTGATAGGTTTTCCTTTGAATGTGATCTACTTCTATTTTGTAGAAGCTTTCAGTATACTATTCTTGTGCTGGATTTCTGGGATCTTGACTATTATATGTCTCGGTGTGTTTTTAATTGGGTTGAGGTTACTTGGCATTCTGTATGCTTCGATTACCTGGATGTCAGATTGTTTCCTCATATTTGTGAAGTTTTCTGCTATTTCTTCTGCCCATATTTTTTTAATGTCATTTGTATTGACTCCTTCTCATTGATACCTATTAATCTAACACTGTTCATCTTTGCATCGTCTTGCAAGTGATGAATTATTTTTCTTGCATCCTAGTTGTTTTTAAGAGATTTTTTTCTTACCTTTTCACTAGCTGCACCAGCATCTTCAAGACCTGAAACTCTGTCTTCACTTTCACTCAAACTGTTTTACAAGTTTGTGATTGAGATTTTAAGTTCCTCTGTATTTCTTTGACTCTGCTTCATGCAATCTATTTCTTTCCTGTATTGCTCATTCAAGGAATCCATCATTTTTCTAATCTCCTCTACTTTTTTTTTTTTATCAATGTCTTCTTTAGAAGCAGTTATTAATTCTTTTACTGCAGTTTTTTCTTTTCAGATAGGGTTTCCTCGCATTGTTTTTTGTACTTGATTCTTTACTTCAGACGCTATGAGTTCAGAGATTTCTTTTTTTTATTTCAGAAATTAATTCCGCTCTGAGTTTCTCTATACCTTTCTTCTATTGCTTATTTACTTTTGACACTATTAATTCATATATTTCAGCTGAACTAGTGTCCTCTGCACTTGTTCTGGGTGGGCACTGGGTTTCTTTCATATGTTTCTGCATTGGATTCTTTACTTCAAATGCTATTAATTCAGAATTTCTTTTTTTATTTGTGATCTGAGTTCCTCTATACCTTTCTGCAGTTGTTTCTTTATTTTAGACACTACTGATTCATTGATTTCAGCTGTGTGATTCCCAATTTTTCTGTGTTAATATCCTCTGCACTTGTTACGTGTGGGCTTAGGGTCTGAGATTGCATTTTAGTCCTTCTCGTCATTTTGTGTAACACTGTCTTCTGACCTTTGTTGTGGAGCTTTGGTGCAATTATAACCTTAGCACCTACTGAAATTCAGGTGCAGATCTACAAAGTTTGAATTTATCCTGATGTGCCTGGCTTGGGTTTGGCTGCTGTGCTCAGCTCCTTTCTGCTGCAGCCCTTGGGAGTGAACCTATTGTGCTCCTCTGGCGAGATGTTCTGCTGCTGGACTAGCTGAGTGGTTCTGTCCCCTACTCTCTCTGCAGGGACTGCAGCTGCAATTTCACCTCAGGCCTGTATGCCAGGCCTGAGCTGAGTCTAAAGGGGACCAGGGGGAGTAGGGGAGAGGGGAAGCTCTCCCACACATTCACTGGGCCTGGGCTAGGGCTGGATCTGGGGGTCCCAAGAACACGGCAGAAGTTCTCACTCACTCTGCGCATGGGGGTGGGGGTGGGGGGCTACAGAGTGGTGCACGGGGGGGGTCCCAAGGGCATGGAAGAGGGTCTCACGCTGTGTGCCTGGGTTCGGACCGGACAGGTCCCATGGGCGCAGGGTAGCCGGAAGCTCTCCCACAGCTCACCAGGCCTGGGCTAGGGCTGGATCTGGGCCATTAAAATATTAACAGCAATAATGTCTAGAGTAACTCTTATCTTTCTGAGCTTTCTGAAATTTCAAATTTTGCTATAATTCACACATTTTAACTTTCTAATTAGGAAAAAAAATAGGGCAGCAGTGTGTGGGGTGGGTAACAGAAGTCACTGCTGTGTCTTCAGAAGCTAAGCTACAAAGTGACAAAGGATGCCTAAATGTGAAGAGGAAGAGAACAAGGAGGTAGGAACCTATATACACTCTCAGGCCAATCTCTGATCTTCCATACTCCAGTTTAGGATTTTAGAACAGGAAGGGTAAAGAAGGTGAGAGCTGAATCAACAACTACTTTCCAGGGGCCAGGGGGCACTCTACAAGGTTGCCGTTCTACAACACAAATGTTACTTGCTGTATTCTTCTGTAGAAGAACCAAAGAAACCATTATGCATGGCTGAGCAGAACACAATATCTTAGACCATAAATTCAATGCAATTGTTAAGAACATACTTTTTAGCAACAGTTATTACAACAAATTTTGTTTCCCTCCACCCAAAAAGCACAGAAGTACACCTGACAATGGGCATCCTGTAAAATCTGAATTTGTTTGCACTGATGCTTTAAATTCTCATTTTTATGGAATTATCCAAAGTCTTTCCACACTAAGCTCTCTGACTGCAAATTACCCAGTAAGTTCTTGCTAAATTACACTCTAGATTCCATTTGCACAGAGCACAAAGATCAATTCCATACCACCACGAGATCCCTGTCTTTGATTAGGCTCATGGTCCAAATTATTCTGCATAGTTCAGTGTCACAGGTGAAGCCCTGTCACCTTAGGCGATCCCAAAGCTATTTTATAAACAAATTCTTAAATTCTTAAATAGGTGACCTACCTGCCACAAAGGGGCATTAAGCTGATGAATCACCACATTCAACTGATGATTTCTTGCAAATGCTACAATTGCATCATTGCCAGCAAAAGTACCAGGCTTTGCCAAACTGGCCACTGCATAAAAACAGGAGAGAAAAAGAATGTGTTTATAATGGAAAAAAAAAAAAAAAAACCCTAAATACAAGCATGCTTTAGTATTTATTTAGTTCCAAACAAAGAGAAACAAGAGTATCTATCTTTAAAGTTTGGAAATCATTTTGGAATTCAACTGGTTAAATAATATGCAGAGCCAAGGAAGGGCCGTGACTCATCCACATGGCTGACACTGACAAAGGTTCTACAATCTGAGGTACAGGATCTCAGGATAAATCCTGAGGGCATTTCACTGACCTTCTCAGACCCAAAAGCTACAACTCTTGTTGCATAGGTCCTGCTTTACCTGGGTCTTAACCATCTAGTAGAAAAGTATGAAGATGAAATATAGGAAGTAAAGCCATGTTGTTATGTTGAGCTGTGGGGGGCTCAGGTCAATAATTTCTGACATTGCCAGTTAAACAGAAGACCCAATGCTATTATGGGCTACTGGACTCTTTTAGAATATTTTGCTGAGTTTACACACCTATAATATTCAACAACGGAACTTAAAAAAATTGGGGTATAACTATGAATGTCCATTTTGTATCTGTGTATTCAAAGTGGTTGGGATAGATATATAGTTGCATTCTCTTAACGAATAGAATGATTTTTTCTAATGGTGTTTGTAAGTAGGATCACAAGTCTGCATCTTGTACAGCAATTAACCACTAAGAAGAATATATGCAGTGTATTATTTGCTGAAACTGTACTTTCGATTTGATCTGAAACTGTCTCATTGCTATATGTTTATCAATAAAACTTTGAAAAGAAAAAAAAAAAGAAAACTGGCTATGATTGGGTTTGGGGTGACCATTAATTTATCTTATTATAAAAATACATGATCATTTTTAAATAATAAAAAAAATCTACAGAGGATAATTTAAAATACTCATAGGTTCATTATCCCCATCTTATTAAGAGCTTACTTTTTTTTCTAATGTACTTAGCACAGGGTCTACAGGGTCTCACTCCACAGATCCGGACTTCTAGTGATCCTTCCTGTGTTTCAGCCTTCCAAGTGCTGGGATTACAGGCATGTACCACCATGCCCAGTCTCAGCTGCTGTCTCAGCACACCCCAGGGGCGAGGCCGGCAGTCCTTGTGTCTGCCTAAGCAGGCACTTTAATCCGCTGAGCTATTTGGCCAGCCCTCTGAAATAGATGCTTTTAATGTCTCCTTATCACAGAAATTTAAAGAAAGTATCTTCTGAAAAATTAAAGCAGCTGAGAAATAACCCTAAAATGTAGGGATATGTACTCATTCTTTCATAGCCTGAGGCTGAAAACAGGAGGCTCACTATGATTCTGACCTGTGTAGTGAGACTCTGTAACAACCAAACACATTTAAAAAAAAAAAAAAAAAAGTGGCAGCTGATCACCAAGAGCTCTAGAGAGGCAGTTTATTTTTATTTTTATCAATAAACAGCTTTTCAGTCTTGAAAGGTCTTAACCATCATTTCTGACAGTAACTGCCTCTCTAGAGCTCTTGGTGATCAGCTGCCACTTTTTTTTTTAATGTATTTGGTAGTTACAGAGTCTCACTACACAGCTCAGAATCATAGTGATCCTCCTGTTTTCAGCCTCCTCAGTGCTGGGATTACTGGGATGCACCACTACACAGGGACTCTGGCCAGCTCAACCCTCCCTGGGGGAGGGTCTGGCACAGCATGTGGTGCTGGGATGGAACAGCGGTCCCTGCACTTACCTAAACTTGCCTAAGCAGGCGCTTTAGTCCACTGAACTATCTCAATGGCCCAGCTACCATTTTCATAATGGTGCCAAGAGTCAGGCCCAGAGCTTCAGGCATGTAAGCACTACCACTGGGCCTCAGGCCTCAGGCCATTGATTTTATTAAGAGTATGTACATCTAAATCTATGGCTTTTCAATGACCTAGCATATCAACTACTACAGAGTAAGCAAAAAAGTTATCTGTTCAATAATGAATGCCACAATTTATATAATCAGACCCCTAGTCAGGAGGATGAGGGTGCTAATGGACTTAATTACCCAATGCATTACTCCTGCAGGATCCAGAGTCCCACGGTGAACCTACCATGCTTCTCAAAAGGAACGTCATCTTCTACAAAGGGCTCAAAATCTTCGCGCTGCTTTATCATGTAGTCCACCGTCTCCTGTCTGTGCTTGAGATGATTTCGCGAGTGTCCCTCCAGCTGATCGCCAAGAGCTCTGAACAGGCAATTGCTGTCAAAACAAAAATGATGGTCAAGACCTTGCTAGACTGAGCTTAGTTCACCTAGAAAATGATGATGCTCCATGCCAGTCGACCCATGAAAAATCGTTCATGCTCAGAAGAGGTAATCGCAACTATTAACACATCAGCACCCTTCCCAAAGGTTGGGAGAAGAGCCTAGGACAGCTATTCACATTACCTTCCTGAAAGGTGACAAAACAAGTATTCTAGTCCCTCACTTACCAGCTGGCTGGCTCAGGAAAATTACTAACCTTCTCTGGGCTTCAATAAGTGAAGTGGATAACAGACTAAGTGCCTGAATACAGGGTGCAGCCCTTAAAAGCCATCTCAGGCTAAGAACTTGTTTCTCAGCTTTCTCTCTAAAATGTCTTATCTGTCACCTCTTTTCTGATCCAAGTTTCACAATAGCTGCTCAGCTAGGGAATTACTCATTTAACAAAGGGTACACAAAGGACACTGTCAGGCTTCCACTACAGACCGAACAGCAAATGGTAGAAGACAAATGAGTATACTGCACAAACACTCCCACCTCGCCTCCTCATCAATCACCCAGGGAGCAACAGTACACTATCACTTCTCCAAAGGAAAACTTTAAACACCATATTTTGTTTATCTAAAATTCAAATACTAGCAGTAAACATTAAAGAGTTATTTTTATTTTCAAATCTCTCAAAAGCTCTTAAAATTCCAAACTATATATCACAAACACAGAGAGTCAGATACATGGAGACCAAAAGAAGACAAACACAATCTGCTCTCCTTATAGTGAAGGAAACAAACCATTCTGAAGCCAAATCATTACCTAGTTTCACACCAAACTGTTAACGCTTCCAAATGAAAAACAGTGACACTCTAATTCCAATGTACAAACTCATCACTTTCAGAAGAATTTCAGACTTACATGTGTAGGGGAGAAATGTCTTTCTTCAACTCAGAAAAATAAGCTTTTAATAGAAAGTTACAGAGGCAAGAATCATTTCTAATATATAAAGATGTATACTTTGGTGAGGAAGGCAAGAGGAAAGGAAAACTTAAAGGAGAGTCTATACATTAGAAACTAAGAAGCTTTTCATCCATCTGGGACAAGGTTCTAGAATGAATTCTATAAACCAGACTGCGCTGTCATTTACTGCTAAAATCTACCAATCTCAATCTTTTCTCAACCATAGGGGGAAAAGAGTGTGAATAGATAAAACATTTTCGATATCAAGTCTTACCAAAGGGCCTGGAAGTAAGTGGGTGTTTTCGCACAAAGAACTCACTGTTAGAAACACCAATCATATGGCCCAAAGGGTCAGCCGTGTTTAGAGAATTTGCAGTCCCTATTCTGTTCTTCCTTCCTTGTGCCCATGGTAATCAATGGAAGTGAAAGATTCGTGGGCCACTTTGCGCACGAGCAGGTAGAGCTGAATCACATTCAGAGTGAACTCCACATAAGCCAGTGAACAAGGTGCAGGGGTAGGCAGGGTGTGGCTATGTGAATTTCTCAAACTTTTCTTGAATTGTTACCATCTGCCGTAAGTCCATTCCTGAATCCAGTTTAAGTATATTTTAGCACAAAATTACAGAGGTAGATATTTTATGTTTAATATATCAACATTCATAATATTCTGCAGAGCATAACATTCTTGTGAAGAACTTTTAGTATCATAGGCAAATGTTTTCCATAGCAGCCCAAAAAGTACATGTAAACTACTACTGCATGAGCTCAACTATGTTCAACTGTGGGTACATAATGAGAAACACACAGAAATGTAGCTGAAGAGAAAACACTGCAACAACCACCTCAGTACCTCTTATGGTATGCCAAGGACTGCCGTGACACCTTACTAATGCACTCGGTCCTCACAACTCTGCAAACAGATACTATTATTATTCCTCCCCAAGGAAAATCCACCCAAAGTCACAAAACTAATGAGTGGAGGGCCAGGGACTCATAGCTGGGTAGCCTGGCTCCACCCCACTCTTGCTCAAACATGAACAGTAAACTATCAGCTGTCCTTATCCACAGGTAACAAGAGTGATTGTCAAATTTATTTTAATATGCTTTTCACTCACCAAACATTCTCTGAACCCACTAAAAATGAATCAGGAGAGGCCAACATCACTTGTTTTTCTGTTAGTTGCAAGGCTGTGACACAGGAAACATGACAAAGACTACAGTAACCAGGGCTCCCATAGGGAGCCCAGCAAGAGCACCTGAAAAGCTGGGAGCACAAAGCACCATTGCCCTAAGGACTTCCAGGAGACCCAGCTGTTTCCCAAGTCCACATTCTCTCGACAGCGCCACAGCAGGGTTTCTCCATCCCTGCACTACAGCCGGGGATTATTATTTTTTGAGCACAGCCCTATGCACCATGGGATATTAGAAGCACATCACCCACCTTCCTCCCCACCATATATGGCAACCAAAAATGTCTGCAGACACTATCAAATAACCTGGGAGGCAAAATCATCCCTGTGAGGGCCACCATGTTTTAGGGACATAGGTAAGGTCTTGCATTTGAGTTCATGAACACCACAAACTGACAGGTACCACCTTGCCAACAATGAACACACCAACAGCAAGATGCTGTATCTGGCTACTCGAAGTTGTAATCAGACCAAAATGGAAAGAGAGAAAAATGGAGATTGTGCACTTTTTTTTTTTTTTTAATGTAGGTGCAGGGTCTACAGGGTCTCACTACATAGCACTCGTAGTGATCCTCCTGTTTTCAGCCTCCCAAGCACTGGGATTATAGGCGTGCGCCACCCCTCCCAGCCTCAGTAGCCTTCTCAGTGAGCCCTGGGGGCGGGGCCATCATGGCATGCCAGGGATGGAACCCTGGTCGCTGAGCCTGCCTAAGCAGGCTTTTTTTATAGTGCTATAATTTCCTATTTTACCCTGAAATATTAATACATGAAAAAAATCTACTGACACTTCCCAACCCATTACACATAGGGAACACTATCCTCTGCGCTGACAAAGACCAACATCACATCAAAGAGGACTGAACCAGCCAATCTCATGGTACCTAAGAGAACAGTGTGTAAGTAGAAGGGGGTTAGCATCTTGAAACACACACAAAAAATGCCAACATCATTATAACACTACCCAAAGAACAGGGAGGTCAGCAGTGGGTCACAAAAGCATTCCAGTGGAGCTGCCTCTACCTGCTACTTCTACCCTTGGATTCTACACTCTTGTCATCCTACACAACTAGTTCAAAAGTAACACACTCCTGGGCCACTGTATGTACTACTTACCCTTCAGTGTCCTCTAAGCTCTGCCTACCGGCCTTCAGGACCCAATCACGAATCACACCCCTAAGAGGCGTGATTCAGCAGTGTAATGAATAAGCCCTTGCTGAACGAATGGGAAGACCCTAAGTGTCAGCTTCTACCTCCTTAATAATACTACCAGTCAGGCACAGTGATTAAGGCTATTTTACACTGTTTTTTTTTTATTTGTTTGTTTGTTTTTCAACATCTGTTCCCAAACAGAGGCCCAGAGAATGAGCGAGGCAGAAAGGTCTTCTGAGCCCCTTTCAGGATATCCATGAGTGTAAAAATAAGGCACTGTTTACCATCTTCATTCTTACTATCTCACAAATATGCCATGGAATTTTCTAGAGGCTCCCTGATATGTAATGAACCGCTGATGGAACTGTGTTTGCATGCTCCTGTGTTTTAAAAATGTCTTACTGTGGGAATGATGGCACAAACCTACCATCCCAGCATTCTGGAAGGCTAAGGCAGGAGGCTTACAAGCTCAAGCCTAGCCTGGGGCACTTAGCAACTTTATGAGTCTGTCTCAAAGCATTTAAAAAAAGGTTTAGGATATCGGTGGGTGGGAAGGCCTGAGTTACATTTCCAATACCATAAAAAATAGTAGCTATTTTTGTTTTACTTTCTGATACAGTAAATATGATAGCTTCAACCCATATACAAAAAAGGCTAGAGTTCCTCAATAAATTTTAAGAATGCAAAAGGTTCCTTCAGCCAAAACATTTAGGACCCACTGCTGTTTCTCCCTTAGTAGACTACAAATTCCCTACGTATCTTAGCCAACCTACTCCAATACCTTGCTTAACCTTATGTGATGAACTAACTGGAGAAATATGCTCTCCTGGGAGAACAGACAGAAGTAATACCCCCATAAGCATAGGAAACCCCCCTAAAGATTCTACAATTCCCCATACTCTGATGCTTGCTCAACAGCAGCCTTCTGCCGAGTATTTGTTTCCTGGTATCCTGACGGGAAAAAACACTACCTGGAATGTCACCCAAACCACGCAGTCTTTTACAAGGAAAGATCCCACCCCGATTCCACAATACTCAGTGGTATCACACTTTACACAGCAGTGTCTTGTGCTTATACATGATCTAAGCCAGCTGCTAGGTCTTTAGCTTTATCATTCTTTGTTCAGCAAAAATGTACTGAATGCCTTCTATGCACCCGGCACTATACTAGATGGAGGTGAATAAATGCAATCAAGCCCGAATAGAAACTTAAAAGTACCAAGACAAGAAAGCGTGACAAACTTCCAACTTGCCTAAAGCACTGAAAGACTGATGGGAAAACTAGGGTCAATTTATTAGTTTCGATCAATTGCTGCAATGTAACGTAAAACTGAGACACCAATTTCTTCCTCAATGTGTACCTATGCAGTGTCTGTACGATTATTAGCTTAATGTTATTCTGTCCTCTGCCTAACCTGAACCGAATCCCCTCAAGGAACAGAGGGAAAGCCTTCATAAACTCTAACCTAGCAACCAGACTGTTTACCTGCCCTGCAAAAGGAATGCTGTTTTCCTCTCCTCCCGCACCCTTTTCTTTCCTCCCCCTACTCTCCTAGATCCCTATCTCCTTTCCTAAAGTTACTTTTCCTTCCCTTACAGCCTCCACTCTTTCATCCGGTATTCGCTTAAAAAGGAGAACTTGGGATTCCAGTCCAAGCTCTCAGGCAAGCACTTTTGCTTGGAGAAACTAAAGCCCATGGAAGTAAAAACACGGTAAGTGGCCTTCAGCTCGGTAAGCGGCAGACCCTCACAAACCTCGTTTCCCAAACGCAGAGGAGAGCACACCCGAGAGCAAGGATCAAGGGAATCCTACGCGTCTATTGGGCTTATCCTTGCGACCGCTCCATCTCATTCTTGCAAGTTTCGGCTTTAATGTCACCTCAGAGAGGCGTTCTGCTCCAGTGTTCTATCTCAGGACCCACTTCTACTTCCCTCGCGGCCGCTGCCACCACTGGGAGGCTCTGGGGTCACTCCGCCTCGGGGCGAGGGGCGCCTCGCTGCGGCCGGACCCCACATCGGTGCAGCGGCGGGCTCGCGGGAGGCGCTCGGGCTGCCTGAAGGAAGGGACGGACGGAGCAGGCGACGGAGGCCAAGCGGTGGCCCAGCGATGCCCGGCGCGCTCCCCCGGCGCCGCCTCCCGCGCTCCCGGCCCGCCTCACCCGTCCCCCGGCACCTCCCGCAGCTTCAGCCCCAGGGCCTGCAGCTGGTTAGCGAAGCTGACGAACTCCTCCTCGCAGCCGCCGCCGCCGCCGGGCTCCGGCCGGTTCCGCCGCTCCTTGGCTAGGGCCCGGCGCGCCGCCCGCTCGTCCCGCTTGCGCTCAACCTCGGCTTTCCGGCTGCCGCTGCCCGGCCGACTCCTCGCTACCTGCTTTCGGGACATGATCTTGGCCTACAGCCCGCAGCGGCAGGAGGAAAAGCCGCAGGACCGCTGGGCGGCGGCCTCTGTTGCCGAGGAGGCGAACCAGCTGTGGCGACGGAGCCCGGCGACAGCGGTAAGGCCACTGCGCCTGCGCGCGCACCAGGTAGCCCGTCACGTGACGGAGTCCCCCAGCAATCCCCGCCCCCTCCAGGCTCGGCGGGCAAGAGCCATAGAGAGAGCGCCGGGGCGGGCTAGATAGACACCTAGCCTGGTCTGTTCTACTCTTCCCCCTACCGGTGGAGAGCACTCAGTGTGCGGCAGGTGAGGCGAGAACAAAGCTGGGACACAGAAGAAATTAACCAGTAGTAAAAGACAGGGAGAGGAGAAGCATAACCAGAGTTAGAGAGAGAATGAAAAAAAAAGGAAAAAGTGAGCTTACATTGGGATAGCCACCCCTCATGTGATTCATTCATGTTGAATTATCCCCCAACTGGGGCTGGGGAGATAGCTCAGTAGAATAAGTGCTTGCCTGGCAAGCTCAAGGTCCTGAGTTCAATCCCTGGTACGCAAAAAAAAAAAAAAAAAAAAAAAAAAAAAAAAAAAAAAAAAAAAAAAAAAAAGAAAGAAAGAAAGAAAGAAAAGAATGATCCCTAAATTACAGAAAACTGAAGTGGAGAGGTTATGTAATTTTGCAAAAATCATAGCACCAAGTAAAAGGTAGACCTTGGCCCTGCCTCCAAAACCCAGACACTTGTTTATTTAACAAGTGCTATTTTGCTGCTATTCTCCATCTCTGCAGCTTCTCTTATAATTCAAGAGGAAAGCAGCTCTTCTTTCCTAAAAATAACGGTTCCTCCAGTAATCTGTATTCCATTCTAGGGTGACCAGCCTAGATTTGCCTGGACAAAGAGTTTCCCTGGGATGGGTTCTAAAATGGAGACAGTCCTATAGAAAGCAAAGATAAATTGTCACTCTAGAGCACACCCACCTGTTCTAGGACCTAAGGTCATATGAGTAATCCCCTCTTCTCCCTCCACCCCTCATCCTGACTCCTCTTTCTTAGCCTTCTCTCTTCTCACAATAATCTCTCTGTCCTGTTTTTGTTGTTGTTGTTTGTTTGTTTTTGTATTTAGTAGAGTTTCTCACTACAAAGATCGAATTCAGTGATTCTCCTGTTTTCAGCCTCCCAAACACTGGGATAACAGGCTCCTGCCACCACACCAATCTTAATCACCATCCCAGCATGCCCCGGGGGCGGGGCTGGCATGACACACCGGAGATCGAACCCAGGCCCTTCGTCTGCCTAAGCAGGCACTTTAGTCCGCTGAGCTATCTGGCCGGCCCTAAGCAAAGCCTTAAACGATTCCCAGAAATATTCCTTATGTTTCTCCCTCTCATGGTGTTATTTTCTCATGGTCTTAGTTACTTTTCTTGTTGCTGAGACAAAGTGCCCAACACCTAAGGTGAAAGACAAGTTTCATTTTTGCTCACTGTTTGTAGAGGTTTCAGTTTGCAGTCACCTGGCTCCAAGGCACAGCAGCAGAGCAGAGAAGCAAGACAGAGGAGAATTAGTCGGTGGCATAGTAGGCAGGAAGCTGCAAATGGTGAGCCTTCCTTTCCCTTTTATCCCATCCAGGCCACAAGCCTATTGGTGCTACCCATGCCCTGCGTAAACCTTCATTATCCACACCCAGAACTATGCTGAATGAATCAGTGGACTAATTTGGTAATCACACACTTTTATTCCAAATTCACATATCCTAGCTCCAGCCGCCTCTGAAAAGTCCCACCTATCAGTACATGAGGCTTTGGGGAAACATCTAGATACAAGCCATGACATTCATTTACCATATTTCCTTATGAGATAGCTTCCTCCATTTCAAAATAACGTCTCTATTTGTACTCATCAATATGCAAATAATTATCATGTAAATAGTAATATTTACATATTTATTCATGAATATGTAAATACTTCCTATCCTGGTGCCAGATATAGTAGGAGTCAGAGACATGAGGTGGCTTTCAGGGAGCAATGACACTAATTATGATAACTGCTATCAACAAGGAAAGGTGGAGCCAGGAGCAATGATCTACACCTGCAATCCCAGCACTCTAGGAAGCTGAGGCAGCAGGATCACATGTTCAACTTCAACCTGGGCAATGTAGTGACTTAGTAAAGCCCTCTCTCAAAATAAGAATTAAAAAGGGCTGCGGATGTAGCTCAGAGCAAAGCCCTTGGGTTCAGTCCCCAGCATTGCAAAAGGAAAAAATAACAATAATAATAAGAGGAGGAGAGGACAGGGAGATTAGATAGTGACTAGGAGGGGGGAAATGTGGAGACCGGAGTAAAAAAATACAATAGGCTTTCCAGAAAAAAACTGACTCCCAAACTAAAGATTAAAGGGTGGACGGAAGTTGGCCAAACTAAGCTCTTGGTGCACCCGGGCTTTGAGGAACAGAAGGAACTTGGAGCTTGAGCCGTGAAGCAGAGAACAGAAAGGAGGCCCATACTGCTGTCTCGGTGTGCTTTGCCCCTAAAGGCTCATGTGCTGGAAGCCTGATCCAGCGTGGCAGTGTTAGTGTGGGGGAATCTTCCAGGGCTGAGGCCTAGTGGACAGGCACAAAGCCACAGAAGTTCCATCCTCATGAATGTATCAATACTGTCTTTCTAGAGTGAAGCTCCCTGTGCCGTGTTCTTTTCTGCCCAGGGACAGTTTCCTTTCTGCTTCTCCACCATGTTGTGACACTGCCAGGGGTCCTTTTTCAAGACACTGGCACCATACTATTTGGCCCTCCCAGCCACCAGAACTGTAGACCAATAACCCTTTTTATTTACAAACTACCTACCTTTGGATATGTTGGTACAGCAACACAAAATGAACTAAAATAACTCAGACCTGGCAGGATCTTGTGGACCAAATGCAGGGGTTTAGCTCAAAGTCCTTAGAGTCCTGTGAGCCATTGCAAGTTTTTAACCAGTGTAATGACATATCATGCCTATTTGTGTAAATATTACTGTAACTATAGTAGAGAAAAGGGAAGATACCAGGTAGGCATGTAGCTGTCTTGCCCTTACCCTGTTTTCTCCCCTTGAGACAGGATCTCTTTACGTAATTCAGGCTGACTTTGAACTCACTGCGTAACCCAGGCTGCAGGCTGGCCTTAAACTCATGCCAATCCTCCTGCCTCAGTCTCCCTGGTACTGGGGTTACAGGCATGCATCACAACACCTGCCTAACTCACCCTCTTTAAGGGTGCATCCCAGCCTGCAGTGGCCCCTGTGCTTGCACTTAGTTGGAAAAGGCAATAGCAACCTAAATTCTGGTCCAGGCCTTTCACAACTGACCTTAGGATCTTGGATTATTTGCTTAACTTCCCTAGCTTCCTTTTCCTCATTGTTAAAACAAGAATAAGAATAGGGAGCTCCAAATGGAGGTCTAATGGTAACAACGACAGATTGGCATAGTGCCAGGCACTATTCCAGTTTCTTTACAAATATCATTACCTTGGCGTGATGGTATACATGTGTAATCCCAGCATTTGGGAAAGGGAGGCAATAGGGTTGCTACAAATTGATGGCCAACCTGGGCTACAAAGTGAGTTAATGGCCAACCCGAACTACATAGTGACATCCTGTCTCAAAAAAATAGACAGATCCTAGTTAGTCATTATGACACCCCAGTGAAAAATAGGTACTATTTCTATCTCTACTATATAGCTGAGAAAACCACTGCACAGAGGAGTTAACTAACCTTCCTAAAGTCACATAGGTGACAAAGCCAAGACGCATAGCCAGGCCATCTTGCTCTAGTGGGTGCTTCTAAGCACTGTATCGTAAACTACAAAACACCCTACACCACACATGACATTACTTCATTAGTAGCTCGCTTCACTTCCCATGTCTGTTACTGATACGGCCTTCCTACCATTTCTGTTGTCTCACCTCTCTATTGTCTGATTTTTTATTTACCATTTTCTGCCTTAAGGTAGATCTCAAAATTCTCCTAAAAGCCTGAAGGCCCATTATAGTTTCACCTTAGGCCAACTGTTTAACTTCCAAACCTCAGTTTTCCGATCTATACATCACAATTACAAAAGAGTAGAAGGGAGAGTTGTAAAAATTGAATAAAACAGTAAAGCCCTGGGCAGGCAACGAATACCAAGTTATTGAAGTTATTTTAATGATCCTCTTTATTGTGAAAAACTCATGCACCCCGGAGCAAAGATTGACATTCCAACTTCAGAAAGCAGAGAAAGAGGGCTGGGGAGAGAGCTCAGTGAAATAAGTGCTTGCCTGGCAAGTGCAAGGTCCAGAAAAAGAAGAGGAGGAGGAGAGAGGGAAGGGAGGGAGAGGAGAGAGGGAAGGGAGGGGGAGAGGGAGGAGAGGGGGGGGGGAGGGGAAGGGAGGGGAGAAGAAGAAAAGCAGAGAAGGAGGGACTGTCACCACAAAATATGTGACAACGCAGAACCCAAACATATTGATAGAATTGTAAACCCTTGCCCATATTGTAGAAATCTCCTTTTTGTATGAGTCTTTCATCCCATGCGTAGAATTTGAATGAGCAAGTTTTTATCCTACAGAAGAGGCCTGTGGCCAGGTAGATGGCTCAGTGGAAAAAGTGCTTCCCTGGCAAGCACAAGGGCCTGAGTTCAAACCCCGGTTCTGCCAGAAGAGGCCTGTGTTAGACAGTAGCTCTCTGTAGGTGCTAATCCATGTACGGCCTATAAATTAGATCTAAAGGCCAAGGGGAAAGTGTACTCGTGAATAAAATGAATGGCTTACTAGCTTCACCAGAGTTAATTAAAAGAATCATTAAACCTCACTAGATGGCTTTTAGTACAAATTAATAAAAAGTGTGACTGATAGATTTTAGCGAAGAACTATAGCTTTAAGACTTTTAAGGACATATCATCAAGATGTGGGGAAATAAGAAATCTTGTATCCACATGTCGGGAGCTCAGTGAATCTAGTGACTTCTGAAGGCAACTTGGGCTGGAGCTGGTAGCATTAGTAAAGGCCAACTTTTCAGATCTTCTTGCCTATCCTAAAAGGAGAAATACAGTACTCCCCCTTTATCATGGGGAATACATTCCCAATACTCTTCCCATGGATATCTGAAACTGTGGAT